GGGGGGGGGGGGGGGGGGGGGGGGGGGGGGGGGGGGGGGGGCGGCCGGGCCCGCCTTCCGCGCGGGCGAGGCACTCGCCGTCTGCGTGAGTGAGCGCCGATCGGGAAGCCGAGCTGCGCCCTAAAGAGGCTCCGGCCGCCTTTGCTTTCTTGCTCCCTCTTGGTGGCGGATCAGGAGACCGGCAGCTTGATACTGAAAATTGCTTGGGAAGAGTGCTAAGAGAAAAAATCTCCTTTGTTAATCACTCTGCGGGACCACGAGAACCACAGTCACTTCTACGTTCACGTACAGTAATCCAAAAGTCTAAAGAGCGTCACCTGCGGTCGGCAGTTCCAGACACCCAGGACGCAGAGGCAGAAAGACTGCAAGTTGATGTCATCCTCGGCAGTTTATGGAGGGCTGCAGCTAGGCCAGGAGGCGCACGCCTGGGATCCAGAGGCCGAGGCCAGCCTGGCCAACATAGCAAGTACTATGCTAGCCAAGGACTTGAGACTAGCGCCAAGATTTTTAAAGGAGGGTTCAAGGATAAGCTTAGTGCTTCCCCAATACATGGAAATACACGAGTTCAACCCGTGGCTGTGTGCGCTGGTACATTTCCTTTAAGAAAATAAAAACAAAGCGCGTTACAAGCGGGTACAGTGTGTAGAGGTGAGCGGGTCTCTTGAGTGGAGAGCAGCCCGACCTACCTAGCCCCAGACCAGCCAGGACTACATAGCGAGACCTGTACAAATGTGTGTTTTGTGTGTACGGGACTTTGATGAAACTTTCTTAACACTCCCGCAAGCCACCCTGCTGCTCGTGGCTGACAGGAAAGGTGATGACTGAGGCTGGAGAGGTTGCTTAGCAGTTAAGAGCACTAACCGCTGTTCGGAGGACCAGAGTTTGGGTCCCAACTACCAACTGAGGCAGCTCACAGCCTCTCACAGCTCCCCACAGCCTCAAAGCTCCAGGAGATCCACTATTTTTTTCTGGCCTGTGCAGGCCCCTGCATGCATGTACTTACACCTGAACACAGCCACACTAATACATAAATTCCTAAATAAAAAGCATAGCTCATCCCAGCCAGCCCCATGTGGTATAAACTGTTCCATTTCACAGATGAAGTAACTGAAACTCAGAGAACTCACTGTACTACTCCACGTGAAAGTGGAGAGAGACTGTGGCCACAACAGACAGGAAAAGCTAAAACAAATCCCCGTTTCTTTTGTCAGGGATTTCACCCCAGGGATTAGAAAGGGAATACAGTACTTTCAGCAGAAATGGCCTTCATGTTTTGGCAGAGTAAGGCAGACAAATGTTCATATACCTTATGTGTGATCTGTAGAGAAATACTGGAAAACAGTGTATTGTCTAGCTATGTGATTTCCAAAATTAGTGATTTTAAACCAAACTAAGAACAAGGAAAGTTAGAGGGTAGATTTTAGGTTATTGTGTATCCGTTCAAAACCTGACTAATCTGGGTGTGATGATATACACCTAAAATCCTAGGACTTTGGAGGTAGAGGCAGGAAGATCAGGAATTCAAGGACATCTTTGCTTTCATAGTGAGCAAGGCAAACCTGGATTACATGAGACCCCATGACCCTGCTCAAAAATCTCAAAACTAGGGCTGGAGAGTTAGCACTTGCCTTTTAAAAAATTATTTATTATTGTTTATACAGCATTCTGCCTGCATGTGTGCCATCACGCCAGCAGAGGGCACCAGATCTCATAGATGGCTGTGAGCCATCATGTGGGAACTGAACTCAGGACCTTTGGAAGGGCAGCCAGCGGTCTTAACCTCTGAGCCACCTCTCCGGCCCCAGCACTTGCCCTTACAGAGGGCCTGGGTTTGGTTCTCAGCACACCCATGGTGACTCACAACCATTAGTACCTCCAGTTCTAGGCGATCTGACACTGTCTTCACGTGTGCCTGTAGATATATGCAAGCAAAATATGTATACACATCATTTAAAATTGTCTTTTAAAAGATTTTATTTGAAAAACTGGACATGTAGAAAATACTCATGACAATAGTTATAAATAAACTTGTATGAACAAGTTTGCTACAAAATCAGCCATCAAATTCACAATCAAGTTTATCAAAGGACAATCTATGGACCAGCCTTCACCGGGGACCACAGCTGTGGTCTTCCAGAATTCACAAGTGACTTGAAATGCATTGTTTCCCACTTAACAGTGTTTGCACGTAAAATATCCATCACAATACTTAGGGTTACTACACACCGTGGTCAGTATTGAGGTCTTGTAGTTTGGCACTACAACGAGGGCAAACACAACAACTTTTAAAGAACCAGTCTAAGCAAAATGATGTGCAAGGAGCTGTGGCTGGTAAAATGGGACCTTTTTTTTTTTTTGGTATGGCAGTTCCCAAATAATGACAGAGACTTTTTATTAATATAAACTTGTTCCCAACTAGCTCTTAATTTAACCTGGTTACAGTAACCTCTGTTCTGCCGCGTGGCTCCTCTCTTAGTTCTGGCACCCCAAGCCTGACTCTCTTCCAGAGTTCCTATTTGCCCTGAAGTTCTGCCTCCCTGTCTTGCCTCAGCTACTGGCCATTCAGGTTTTTAATAAACTGACCAGAAGGTGCCAGAGGGAGTGTTTACAAAATATGATACAGCCAAAAAATAACAATCCAAAGTCTGATCTGTAGTCAGCTCCCTGCTGGTTCAGAAATCAGCATGTGGATAATACAAAGGCAACCTTTACATAGTCACAAAAAGATCACCCCATCAGGCTGGGATCTTTAGCATTCATTCTTTTTCTTCTCTTTCAAAAATACATTTTCAGCGCGCAACTTTTCTGTCTCCTATAAGTTACAAAAAAGAAAAATTAAGTTTTTAATTGTTATAGGAGAAGCTATTTTCTTGACTTAATTCAGAAGTATATATTCAAATTAAAGCTACAATGTTTAATCTGTAAATTAATATTAAATAAAAATTGGCATCTATGAGAATTTAGTCCCAGCACCAAGAAGGGTGAGAGACTTCTGTGAATTCTGTTTCAGACTGGATTTCAGAGTGTAACCCTGTCTCAAAAAACCCAAAAGTAAAATAGCAATGACCAATTTATTTTACTGAAATAGTCACTTTAAAACCACCGTTTATTTAGGGTAGTTTCAGTTTACCTCAGTAAGCCTGATATTTTCCTTCTTCAGCCGGACTACATATTGAATCTTCTGGTGGAGGTTTTGATGACCGATCAATTTTCCATTTTCCTCAGCAAGATACTCTAGTTGCTTTCTCAACATTTCCATTTCCTGTCAATCCAAGGATGGGAAGATCACATTATATATCGAGAGGTGGTCAAACTTCTGTGGGCACATATCTCCGAACACTGGAGAAACTGAACCACAAATGTGGTTTTTGCTAATTCTGCTTATTCAAGTATTCTACATAGCATGGAAACCTAACATACCTGGAGGGTTCTTTCTCTCTCTTCATACATTTCTTCCAATTTTGACCGCATTTGTTCCTTTTCCTGAAATGCTCTCGACTCCAATTTTCTGGTTCGCTCAACCTCCTCGCTCATCCTGTGGCAGCTCTTCTCCTTGCTGTGAAGCGCACTTTGGACTTCTTCTAGCCTGCAAGAATCAGCATCACTTTATGGTATCTCAAAGAGATAGAAACAGGCCTTTAAGTAGATTTCTAAGTTCAGGATTTCTATTTGAAAGCATCACTAATCTCCAGGATCCTGTACCGTTGGCAAAGGAGGGCGAGCTAGACCTGGGGTGGACCTGGGTGGGAGAGCACTTCCTGAGATGGCCCAGGCTCCGAGCTCCATCCTCAGTCTTGTTAGAGAGAGGTGAACGTCAGAAGTCATGACTTCTGTCCTGAGAAAAGCGCTTCAAAGCGTTTGGCTTATTTACTTGGAGCCAGGCTCCTGTGTAGCCGAGGATGACTTCACTTCCCTTACCCAGTGCTGAGATTACAGGCGTCTTCCACCAGGACTGGCTTCAAACTGTTTTCCATTTTTTCTAAATAATAAAAATTCAGTATGAAACTTGCTTGCCCAAGTGGAGATGGAAGTTATCTTTAGTGTGTAGGATTTAATTAAGTGTGTCCAATCACATAAATCATTTCTGCCTGGAAAGCTGGTACTCAGACACTGGAGCATCCGTCCCCTCAGAGTGTGTGCTTCAGCTTACCCACGTTCTCTAACCCAGTGAACAGTGCCGTGTTCCACCCACTTCAGAGGACTGCTTCAGTCTTACAGGTTTTCCACTGGAAACACAATGCACACGGACTGTAATAGACTGCTGGAATGAGCTGACACTCAGATCTGCGCCTGCTCACAGGCCAGCTCAGCCTCAGCGAGGTGTTTCTCCATCCTGCTCACACGCATCCAGGGAGGTAACGTCGGGAAGCGTTCTACTGCTTTGCTAGGATAGGAGCTCGGATGCTGGCCCTGCCTACCTTATTGTCAGTCAGGGGATGCGGCTTGAATGGGGAAAGTTCTCTTGGACTCCTGTATTTTAACACTTGGTTCCCAGCTAATTGGCAGTATTTTGGAAGGCTGGGGAACCTTTAAGAAATGGAGACTTGCTGGAGGAAGTGTTTCACTCTGGGGCCCATGCTTGGGTTTGTTTTGTTTTGTTTGAGACAGGGTCTGTAGTTCCTGGCTATCCTGGAACTTACTATGTAAACCAGGATGGTCTTGAACTGAAGAGAACCACCTGCCTCTGCCTTCCGAGTGCTGGGATTAAAGGTGAGTACCATTAATTTTTAATGCCCAACTGTACTTCCCGTTTCCTTCCCAATTCCTGACTATATAAATGCAATGATACCTAGCTTTCATAATTCCTGTTTCCTCCTTACTCCTGCCTATAAATGCAGTGACACCTAGCTTCCTGCTCTTGAA